TCCCTTCCTGCAGACAGCACCAGGGGTGGGGCTGGGATGCATCAGTCCAGCCCCAACCACATGAAGGACTGACAGACGTTCTCTAAGGCACTCCACTTTGGAGCGCCTTCAAGTGACTTCTCAGTAGGCGAGTGTTAACTTGTGCAATCAACCACTTTCAAAAGTTCTCTGCAGCCATGCATATGCACTTTCAGGGGGCCAATCATGCAACAAATGTCAGTTCTGTCAGCACCTTCTGGGTCTCACAAGAGTTACCAAAAACAGAGCCAAAGTAATTATAGCGCTTCCCCTTCACCACCACACAATGTGGCAACTGTATCGTCTCCATTGTCCATTTGCTAGTTGCTTTTAACTGTGAAAGGGAGGAGAAGAAAATAATATCTCCTTTGCACATGGACATGCAGCAGTTCCTCACAGACCTAGATTTCAGACAAGTCATTGCAAAGAGAGAAAGGAAAGGAAACCTTCCTATGGAGAAAGAAGAGGCAATATGGAAATTCTAACAGGATGTAACGTAAGTTGGAGTGTGGTGGGCCATTGTCACACGACTTCCTTGTTGATAGGTTGGTAAGAGTACATAAGATCTACACTTTACCCCTGAAAATGGGTACAGGGTAAGAAGAAAAAGCAGTCAATTAAAATATAAAAAAGCAGATAAGACAAGAAGAAGTATCTATTCATTGAATGTGTCGAAGAACCACTCAAACTTGGAAGCTATTAACACCTTTCTTTGCTGTGTGTAGAATAGATTCAACGTATCAGGTGACCATAAGATTAAACACAGTAAGGCACTAGCCAAGTAAATCAGTCAGAACATTTCAAATTCAAAAATGAAATTGGGAGAACAGTACAGACAAATCAGTACATATGGGGTAAATCATGGGGAGGGGGACTGCAAAAACTAGGGACAAACTCTCTCTTTTTAAAATAAACCAAGTAACACATCATAAATGAGGTATGCTTAAAACTGTTAACATTTGCCTCCATTTGATGCAGATATTTAACACCTTTAGAAGTTAGCCAATTGTGGCATTTTAAAATCCTAGGAAATTATGTACAGAAATTAGGTAAAAATTGTAAAGTGAAGAACAAAGAAAGTAAATGACAAGTATAATGTTGCCTGTGCAGACAAAGTCTTCCCCTGTTACATGTGCATTGTGATACAGACTTTAATTACATAATCGCACACTATCTGTTCACTTCGGGCACAGGAAGTACAATGAATGAAGCAGACAGAGGAAACTCCATTTTGTTTTAAAGCATAGAACTGGAACCCAGGGGAGCACAGTTCCATTTTTAGCTCTACCACAGGCTTCCTAAGTGGTGCTGGGAAGGACTATAATAATGCATAAAAAACTAGACAAGCAAATTAAGGTTACACATGCAATCTTCATTATGACTTTTTTTTAACTTTGACTTTGCAACTATAAAAGTCTCCTTTCAACATAGTTGTTCTCTAAATATTATACAAATCTGAAGCATGAGAAAAAACATGCACATTACATGTGTGTATTGCACATATTTGCAATATAAAATAGATCAGTAAGTACTGCAGTGCACATGTTCTTTGCCCAGAACAGCAGGCTTCTTTGATGTTTTCTGAGTCACACAGCTGTGCAAAATACAGTACTATTATAGGACAGCTGTGATTTACATTTCATATGTATGAGCCAAAGTACTAGAAGCCTTCATTGTTGATACTTCCTTTGGCAAACAGTGGACTTTAAACTCTATTGTTCTCTTGTCCACATTCCTAATCAGTATTTCAGACAGGATCTCTCTAATTTTAGTACAAAGCTCTAAAAGGTTGAGAACAATTATTCTGAACAGGCCCCAAATAGTTTCCCACTTATTTTATATTGCATAAACTTAGACAGTTCCCTACATGTGTCTGGAACTAGCATGAACTTGCTGCTTAAGATTTTTTCCTTTCTGAGTCACCTGCAGAACACACTTTAAAATGAAACTAAAACTGGTATTTAGAGGCTGTTTCCCAGAGACCAATAAAAAGTCTTCACTTAGCAACTACATTACTCTTGATTTCAAGATCTTTACTATGAACAAGTTTTTATTTGTCAAGTTAACAGAAAAAATTAAATTCATTAAAAGTGCTTGTGAAATGTTGCACTGACAGTCCTAAAAATGGACACACTTCAAATTGTCTGCGGAAGTAGCATACTAGAGGCAGTAACAGTATGAGGGTCTTCCTACTGTACTATTAACACATCTCAAAGACTAGCTGAATACATCATCTATGAATAAGATTACTCTTCAGGCCAACTGAACCATGGTACTATAGGCTGAGAACAAAATACTTCATCAACCCTTAAAAGGACTTCAGTTAGAACAATGGTCACCAACCAGTCTGAGGCTGGAAGGGCCGAGCATGACCGCGCACGTGCACGTGCACCCCCAGCCCATCAGGTCAGTCTGTGGGAGAGGGAAGAGGCAGGCATCAGATCAAGGCCCCCACAGCGAGGGACGGAGTGCAGCACAGGCAGGAGCAGGGGCTAAGGTGAGTGCGACCCTAGCCAGGCCTGGTGGCGAGAGGACTGGAGCCCAGGGAGCTTGTCCATGGGCACGGGGGGCTCCCACCGCTGTGTGCACCCTGGCGGAGACCCGGTGGACACATGCCTCCCCTCAAACACAGGGCAGCACAGGCAACTGCAGCAGGAGTGGGGAGGGGTGTGCATGCAGCAGTGGGGGAAGGAGCGAGGCTGCACAGCTGGAGTGGGGCATACCACAGAGCCGCAAGTGGCTCATCTGGGGAGCGTGGTGGAGGGCACGCAGCCTGGAACGGCAGGGGGGACATGTGCCCCTGGATCTGCAGGGGGCAAGGTGGGCTGCTGCTGCAGGCTGGGGCTGTGCTGAGCTCTTCCCAGCAGGGGTGTTTGGTCGAGCTATGTTTGAGGCAGGCAGTGGCACTGGGAGGGGGGCTACAGCTACGCAAAAGTTTGCCATAGCCCCTCCAAACCCCACTTCCAGCACTGCCGCCACCCGCCCCAAGCACAGCATGGCCCAACCCCCCTGCCAGAAAGAACCCAGTGCAGCCCTGGCTCCAGTCCCAAGCAGCAGCCCACCCTACCTCACGTGCGGATCCCAGGCACACAGCCCCCATGCCCTCCCAGGATGCTTGCAGCAGCAGGAGCTTCCACCCCCTGCCTGGGCTGGGCACTCCCCAGGACAAGCCACTTGTGGCTCCGTTCTGCACCCTGCCCCAGCTGTGCTGGACCTGTGCTTGCCCCGACCGCACCCCCCCCTCATTGCCGCCGGGGGGGCAGATAAAGGCCCCAGTGGTGAGGTAGGGAGCGAGGCACAAGCAGAAACAGGAGCTGGGGCAAGTGGAACCTTGGCCGGACTGGGTGCTGGGGCAAGTGGAGGCCTGGGGGACATATGCCCCCCTGATCTGTGTGCGGGTCAGAGGTGGCTGTCACAGCATGCTGGACTTTGCTCCCTGCTGCAGCTGCCCTGTGCCCCCTGCCTGCCCAGCAGCAGGACATATGTGGCATCACACGGCTCTCGGGGTAGCAGGGCTCAAAAGTGCAGCAAGCAGCAGCAGCCACCTCCGCCTCACACACAGATTGGAGGCCAGGTGCTCGTCTCACCACCTGGCCCGGCTGGGGCCCCACTCACCACAGCCCCTGCTCCTGCCTGTGCACACTCCCTCCCTCACCGCTGGGGCCTCGATCTGCTCCTCCCATGGCCCTTTCCCCACCCCCCCACCCCTTCCCCCACAGACTGGCCTGCTGGAGGGGGTATCCCCAAATAATTTTTTATCCCTCTGCCTTCATCTGCCCCCCACTTTTCTCCCCACACACTGACCTGCTGGGGGGAGGGGTGTGGTGGATCCTGGGTTGCTTTTTAATTCAAAGAGTGATCTCCTACTTTAAAAGGCTGGAGACCACTGAATTAGAAGAAACTTCCCATGATTTTAAACCTCACTAGACCAGATTTTACCTACTGCTCTACTTAAAAGGTCATGATAAACTCTAAAATATCTATTTAAAGAAACATCATGACAGACCTAAAAAATGAAGACTCTCTTATGCCACTAACAATTTCTTAGAATCATAGGAAAGAAAAAAAAAAAAACCCAGTGGGAGGTCAGAGTC